CTTCTTTCCCCAATTTTATGGCAGGTCTGTGATCATCAATTAAAAAAATTTATCCTTCTAAAACTTTTATGCAGGAAATTTAGGGTGTATTCATTCTGTTGCAGCTAAACAATCTGGATTACACAGGTGGATTAAAGAAGATGTTGACACAGTTGGGGCACTCGACCACCGTGAACGACTGCACGTCATGGGCGGAGGCACATGAGGGCTAGGGTAAGAGAAGAAAAACAACAACGCCAAATCAGAAGGTAGATTCGGAAGTTTGATTTTTGCTTTTGTTTCTTCATCGATCGTTCCAGCGATGGAGTAATGCTCGCCGGAATGATGAGATTTCTTCCTGTGGTGAATCGGAAACGAGCAATTCAGCGCCAAATCAATGTTCCTGACTTGTAGAAGCATCTCCAGTCCCCTTCGTGTTAGGTTTGATTCTATATTATTTATCTCAACTTTTAAGAGGTTTTACTTTTTTGTGGTTGTTAGGTGTAGAGTATTGCTCTATATGGAACAAAACAATTTTTCTACTTGCAAACTATATGACGATAAACTCTTCTACATTATTGCTCTCTTGTTCTTGTAAGGTTTGTTAATCAAGAATCACTACTCTATATACAAACTAATTGTATAAATCAGTTGTTAATTGTATTTGTTTATCAACAGTTGACAGGTCACGCGTGATGCTAATGGAACTACTTAAGGATCAGGCTTTATTGCATTTTCCACTTCTGAGAAAGCTTCTAGAACAGTAAGCAGATATTTGCATTTACTATTTTTATTATATTCGAATAGTATATGTAAAAAGTTAAAATTTTGTATCTAATTTTATAGTTGAATGAGATGAATGGAAAGATGGTTGCTAGCAAGCCTCTTTATGTTGCATTTTCTCAACACAAAGAAATCAGAAGGGCAAGATTGCAGGTTTGTCTACTTTTTTTTTGTAAACTGGATGTGTTGCATATATGGTATTCTATCAGAAAAGAATGTTTTATTATGATAATCATGAACATATTCTGTTAGAATGCCCCGAATTAATATAATTATTGGTAAATGCATTCCAATTCTATCAGAATGGAATCACGAATTCCAATTATGTTGGAATGGAATATGGATATTTTCTCACTAATTTATTCATTGGATTTGTTTCCACAGAAGTTGATGCTTGAAGAACGGACCACGAAATTTGAACGACGCCTCTTAGCAACATTATTCTTTTAGAATAAATTAGTGTATTTGTTAGATTTTAATGTTTTTTTTTCCCGATTTGAAAGTTTTTTAGTTTTATTCTTTAACAATAAATGTAATTCTTAACAATTGTTACATGTATTCTATAAGAATTAATATAATTTTTGTTTTAATTCTTCAATTGCTGGTTCGAAAATTTGTTATTCTACAAGAAAAATATGTTCACGAATATTTTTATTATTTTATGGTTCAAGAATTTTTTTTATTTTTGAATATATTCAAACATATTCTGTCAGAATGTCCGAATTAAAAACCTAATAATTCGTAAAATCAGATTTTTAAAATCAATAGAATTTATGATCCCTTAAAATATACAAACTTCCTTTATTAAATCTATGTTAATTGACTAAAATACCTATCTAGTTAAATTAGATGGTATTTTTCGATTATTTTTAATTCAATAATATGTATTAATCATTTTCTTAAAATAAGTAAAATGATTGACCCATATTTATGCATACAATAACACAATAATTAGTTTGAATAGAATAATCTAGGCCTATATATATATATATATATATATATATATATATATATATATATATAGTTTCAAATGGAAAATTCTCAACATTGAAAAAAACAGAAAAAAATGATGTTCGATTTGGAAAAAAAAATGAAGTATCAAAATTGAAGAAAAAAAATGAGAACCTAATGTCTTTTGTACATTAAATTTTCTAGTATGACACATCAATATGTCATGTCAGCATGTCACATCATCAAAACTGACACGTTATAATGTCACGTCAGCAGACAACCGAATTGACCGGTCAAGTTGTCATAATTGTAACAAACTGATAAACATAGTGTCCAATTTGACACAAAAAACAACGCAGTGTCAAAATCAAATTTTCGTGTGAACTTTGTTACCAACTTGAGACAAAAAAATAACGCAGTATCAAAATCAAATTTTCGTATGAACGTAATGACTTTTGTACTATCAAATAACATGCAAAAGAAAAAAAAATACTTGTACAATCAAATCACACATTACATGACATAGATCTTAAATAAATAAATAATAATTTATATAATAGAAATTCAATAAAAAAAATGTTTAATTAAAGTTTTTATTATTAATTATAAGTTAATTAATTGGTATGACATTTTATAATTAGTTTGTTTCATCAGCATATAAAAAGGAGTTAAGTTTTATAATTGAAAACTAAAAAAAAGGGTCAAAACCCAATACTTTATCTTGATGCCTAATATATGTCGGCTTGGCTCTCCTCTTGTTATCTCCATCTCACTCTCACTTTGGGCGGAGTGTTCGTCAAACTAATTGGTAACGGATAGCGGATAGCATAGCTGGTAGCAATTTGTTTAACGTTACGTAAGATAACATTTAGATTTAGAGTGTTTTGTTTAAATAAACGCTAAAAGCCTGTAATGTCAAACAATATATTTTATTCAAAACGAAGTGTTTTGAAACGCTAGAAGGTATAAGTTCTCAAACACTCTGTGTCGAATACGTCCGTTATCAAAATGTTAAAAATTGTAAAACTTTAAATCTTTGACAATATTTTAATAAAATATTATACATAAAATATATTTATAAATAATATTCTAACAATAACTTATTAAAACAGTGACTTTTTTTTAAATATAATATTGGAACGACGATTTTTTAAAAAAAAATTGAAATTAAAAAGTGACGAATATTACTAATCACTATTTCTTCTAATTTTTTACCTTAATTTGTGTGGAAAAAAACATGTCTTGTTTTCTTACAAAACATATAAATTTCAAATAAACATCTATATACATTTATATACATATACCCTTTTAGATATATATTGGTAATTCTGTGCCACCTTTTTTCAAAGAATAACATGGGAAAATGGTAATTTTGTACCTTAAGGTGTTGTTTGTTTTTTGTAAAAAACATTGTCAGACCTTTTATTATTGCGTGGCGAAGCACACGCGCATCATTTTTCATCTCGCAGTAATTTTTTTTTAAAGTCTTCAGAGTAAAAAATATTTCCGCGTGTTCTGTTTTGGGCAGCACTTATATTGCTTCTCCCAACCTCTTTTTTTTTTCTTACTAAAATCTTGATGAATCTTGATTATATATTGTTGAAATCTTATTGAATTCTTGTTTCACCTTCTTTTTTTTCGTATTTTTGGTTTATTCTTGCTAAGTGATTATTTTTTTGGTTTTTTTATATTGAATAATGATAATTTCTTGCTGAAATATCATTATTTTTTGTTGAAATATCATATTTTTTTTGCTGAAATGTCATAAATTCTTGTTGAAATGTCATACATTATTAAATTTTCGATAAACTATTTTCGTTATATAAAAGTTGTTTATTTTATTTTTTTTTAATATCTGCAGCAACATGCAGATGTTAAAAAACAAACACGCTTCTTATTACAGTCTGTAGCCTTTTGGTCCACCTCTTCTGCTGCAAAAAGTTACAGAGATGGTCCGCAGACTTCATGAATTTTTGCTTCAAAAAAACAAACAACATCTAAGTAAACAAGAGACCCATAAACTAACCCAATGTGAGATTTATTTTGTCCTATATTGACCTTTCCAGAAGAGGTAATCGAAAAAATATTCTTTTTTTATTAGAAACGACAAAATTGCAAAATTGGTTCCTATAGTATGTATTTTTTATGGGTTTCAGTCCAAACATCGATTTTTTTTTGCTTCGTGGTGCTTTTGAGATAATTTGCTTGTGGTTTTGGTTCCTCGAAAAACTAATAAGACTAAAATGCCCTTCTGATCTATTTTTTTATATAATTTAACTAGTTTATAACCCGTGGACACCACGGAAGAGAAAATAAAAATTAAATATAATTAAAATAATATATATTAATTAAGGAATTATAAATAATTTTTAATACGTAATAAATTATATTTTTCATAAGTAATTTGATAATGATATAATGATTCTTTAAAATTACGAAAGTATAGTGTTTTGAATATCCAATCGACAGTTTGTGTTTGTAGATATGTTAGAAAATTATCAATTTTGTGTAATTGAATAAAAAATTAAATAAAATAGAAACAAAATTTGATATATAAAATAAAATTGTACAAAGTATTTATAAAAATCTAAAAACTTCTTTATACACAACATTTGATGTTTTATTTGTTAGTCTACCATTCTTATCTAGAATTAACAATTTTAATCCCTCTCTACTTTGAACTCTGGATAAAGCAACGTACAATTGGCCATGTGTAAAAACGGGTTCTTTGAGAAACAGACCAACCTTCGACAAAGACTGTCCTTGGCTTTTATTAATTGTCATTGCAAAACATACAGCCAATGGAAATTGTCTTCTTTGGAATTTAAACGGGATCTTGTTTTCAGTAGGAGTTAAAGACATTCTTGGAATAAAAGTAATGTTTCCAATATTACTTCCAGATATGATGACTGCCTCAATAACACGTTTGCCCAAAGATTTGACTTGTAGTCTAGTGCCATTGCATAAACCATTTTTCTGATCAATGTTTCTCAATAGCATAACTGGAACACCGACTTTTAAAATGAGCTTATGGTTTGGCATACCTGATAGTTTAAGACCATTTAAAACATCAGGTGAATATAAATTACAATCAAACTGATTATGAACAAACTCGGATTGGTAGAGGCTATCTGAACTTAAATATTCTTTTTCATCACCTGGAATCAATTTTAGCAAACGGTCATTTATTTCTTGGACAACTTCATTTTTGGGAGCAAGTATTGCTCTTTCCTGAAAATAACCTGCAATGTTGAAGTTTTCCACAATTGAAGGATATACAAACTTGATTAATGAACCTATAGAATCACATGGATCATTAATAAGAATATCTTGTGGAATATCAACAATTGCTTCACCATCATTCGGACCACCAAGATTACCTTCTCCTATGTCCAAAAGCCAGTTTGAAAAACCCCTTATTTTCTCAACAGCAGATGGATCGCTTCCAACAGTTAGCCTCATGTTTTTTTTTGTTAATTTATGGACTTTGCATTGTTGCCATAAATACGAAGAACTTAAAGAAGCATTAACAATGTTTTGTCTACTGCCACCCGGAACAACAGGCAGAATTTGTCTGAAATCACCTCCAAAAACAACCACTTTCCCTCCAAATGGAGTATTCGAGTTTGTAGGATTGAAACGCCGTAATATATCCTTCAAAGTTCGATCTAAAGCTTCAAATGCATGCTTGTGTACCATAGGTGCTTCATCCCAAATGATCAATGAGGTTTTTCTTACTAAATTGGCAAGATCACTATCTGGATTTATTCTACAGTAAGAATCCTCGTTAAGATTAATGGGTATTATAAACCGAGAGTGTGCTGTCCTGCCTCCAGTCAATAATAATGAAGCGATCCCGCTTGAAGCTACATTTAAAACAATCTCACCTTCAGATCTAATGGCTGCAGAAATTGTCTTCCAAAGAAATGTCTTACCCGTTCCACCATAACCATAAATAAAGAATACACCTCCCTTATTATCTTTAACCGTAGTCATGATATCAAGGAAAATGTTGCGTTGCTCGTCTTTTAATGAAACAAAAAGACGATAAAACTCATTCTTTAAATTTGGTATGTCATAATCGAGCTCCTCAGGTATCAGGTGATTGTTTGAAGATGAAACTGAATCATCATCAGGGTAAGGCATCCTTTTATAGTTCTTGAGACTGGTGTTGTTTCGGAGTAAAATTTGTTCTATCTCAAACAAAGTCAAGTTTTTAATTTGATCTTCGTTTAGTGATAAAGCTGTATGAATAATGTTATATTAGTTACAACCAATTAAAAAATAAAATAAATGAAAGTCAAATCTAATTGACCATATATTTGAATTTTATATGATATAGATTTAATAATAATGTAATAAACATATAATACCTGGAGACTTTAATCTCTGTTGTTGAGTATAAAGAATTCCATCTGACAGATATTCCCATGTGTTTTCCCACACACTCTCCGGTTTAGACAAACTGTTGGACAATAACATCGTAGCAAATAAAAACCGTAGATAATAACCAGATCCAGAAAGACTTGCTTCCTTAATTGCATCGATGTATTCTTTGTCATCATCCAAAAGGCCTAGATTATAGCATGCATCTTTAAAAGAAGAACATATTTCACCATTGACTGTGCGAATTTCTTCAAATGATTTTGGACCTTTCACTTTATTTAAAAGAATTCTTAAGAAATACGCTTCGCCAAGTTTACGTGAAACCGAGTGAATTCTACCAATTGAATATCCAACTTCCCTTGGCTTCCAAATTAGAAGTTTAGGTTTCCAAAAAAACTTTGTAGGAAATTCAACATAAGTAAGTTTCTGTGCTTCTACATTAATTTCATTAGACTTCATCCAAGATGTAAACATTGAAGAAGCAACTGAAGGCCGGTCAAGAACATCTTCAATATCATCGTCTGCCTCATATATAACTTGTTGTTGTCCAGGAAGATGAAACGGTAGTCTGATTACAGCAGGATACCTATAATGAACATCATATTTAAAAATCCTCCATGATGCTTCACATGCAGATATATATCTACAATCATAATATTCTTTGATTTCATCCACAGCATCGTTGTTATCAGAATCATTATTGTTTTGCACCATAGCAAAAGTAGCCCTATCAGGACCCTTGTTTATATATTTAAATAGATACTTTATCGAAGATCCTTGATTGCACCATTCAACATTAATGTGTGTCTGATATCTTTTCAAAAGATATTTATTGTATGGAACAACATTTCTGTTGTCTAACTGGACCCCCGATTTTTCAACAACATTTCCATCATTTCTTCTCCTATATAAGGGAAAACCGTTTGAATCAACTGAAGTATGATTACAAAATTGCTTTGGAAAGTTTTTAGAACATTTTCTGTCCACCATGCATGGGCAATTGAAATTTTCAGCTCCACATGGACCATGGATCATGAACTCTCTCACAAGTGAATACAATTCTGGATCTTCATTGATATTTGGAATCTCGGCAGAAATATACGGGTCGACATATTCAACTGTAGGAAGCTTGCAATCAGCATGCAAAAAAAAAGACATATATGACTATGGGGCAAACCTCTTTTTTGAAATTCAATTGTATAAACCACTGCACATAAAATTATACAAATAGGATAGAAGTTAGCAATTAAACAAATTGTTGGTGTATGTATGTATACATACATACCTAATAAAAAACATAATTTAGATAACTATAGGAAAAATATAAATGATAATATTTTATATTTATATATTAAACTATAAATTTAAATACCTGCTTGAATCGTGCCGAAAACTTTATTTTCCCTTAAATCTTTAATAAATGCATCCAACTTTTATCTTAAATAACCTACATAATATATCCGGTCTATCTTCTGGATGAAGTGGAGTGTCCTTAAGAAACCTTTGAACTTCTGGCCATTTTGGATTACACGTAAAGGTTATGAAGAAATCAGGATATCCAAACCATTTACAAAGCGACATGGCATCCAAATAGTTTTGCATCATATAGCGTGCACCACCGGTAAATGAAGAAGGTAAGATCACACGTTGCCCGACGTTCGATATATCTGTACTCCCGAGTGCTTGGTGATTACGCAATTTCTCATAAGACTCACATCTAAGAATTTTTTGTTGCTTACGTATGAAAAATAATCTCTCACTTTCAATCATTGTATAACCATCAACCAAAAATTGTTGGAACAACCTTTTTGCATTGAGAAGTAGTGAGAACGATTGATCTCTATCTTGAATTCTGTAAGCAAAAAATTCTCTCATTGTACACGTCGGGCGCTTGCTATTACTTGAAGATGTAATACCTCTATGAAGGATGTCAACTCTGTAACCATCATCACCATATGGAAATAGTAATGGATACTGAAGAGCAAGGTAAGAAGGATGTAATTCACTGATACGCTGAAGTAATCCTGATGAGGTTTGAACAACAATGTCTCTTTTTTCAACTGAATCAGAAATGTCACCAACAATTAAAGCGGCTACCTCCGAAGAAGTTGGTAAGTTATATGTCCTTCCATCTTGTTCTATTTTTCCGATTAATCTTAACTTCAAATTAGCACCAGGATTTTCGTGAAGACTGTCTCTTACCATCCTATAAGACTTGACCAACACATTGTTTGAATCTAACATAACCTTCAAAAATTGGATAATCTGGAGATCATATGATATTGAAGTTGATGTAGAAGCGCTTGTCGGTCCACTGAAAATATTATAAAAGTTATTTAATGCTAATAAAAAAATTAAAAGAAATAAATTACTTTATTAAAGAATAGGAAATTGTAAAAATATACCCAATACTTGTTGATCTGTTTGAAATTTCATTTTCGGTATCATATATGTATAACTGACAAAATTTTGGTCTTGATCCAGGTGTAGGTAAAAGACTTCCCATACTATGATAGTTTTGACCGCTAAGTTTGAATATGTATGGTGCGTTGCCTTTGTTGATGGATGAATCAACTTTTCCACCCATCGATGTAAATGAAAACATTGAATTGTAACGTCGAATGTTCTTTATAAAGTGTTTGCTTTTTGAATCTACCGATTTGTAAAGATTTTGGTAAGATGACGGTGCTTCTTTTAAGGGTGGTAGCTCAACTTTGCCGTAATCACAACATAGTGAATAAAATGTATTGCCTTTTTTTTGCCCTCTAAGCGATTCATCTATCCATAATTTTGCATGACAAAACTTACATGTAACAATTTTGTCTCCATGATCTAAGTATTCTATTCAATGCAAAAAAAATATATTATATATAATTAAAAAAATAATTAATTTTTTTTTGAATATTAAATAATTTAGAATTATGATCACCTTTTGATATACCATGGAAAATATCTTGAACAATATGATCATCATTAATTTCTTCATCTAATGTCAAGTCAAAAACAGGTATAGAGGATATATGTGAAGTCTTCCTTTTTAGATGATGTTTTCCTCTTGGTAACTTGATTGATGAAGAATTTTGAATTATTGTCGAACGATTGCTGGATGTCGTGGCATTACCAAACACCAAATTATCTTTGTTAATAGATAGTGGTGTTCGAAAGTTATTATTGAAAATATAATTGCCTGTAAAAATAAAAATAGAAAGTACAAAGTCAATAGTTGTTATAATTAATATAGATGTGAATCATATATTTATAAATTTGTGTATTTAGAAATGCTTACCATTTGAAATGTTAGAAAAGGGAGTTCTAACATTTATATTTGATGAATGAGAAGTATGAATTATTGTCGAGGGATTGGTGGATGTCTTGCCAATGCGAAACACTGAATTATCTTTGTAAATAGATAGCGGTGTTTGAACGTTATTGTTGAAAATATAATTGTCTGATAAAATGAAAATAAAGATTAGAACATTAGGAATTGTTACCGGTTATATAAATTTGAAGCATATATTATAAAATTTTGGTATATAGAAATGCATACCATTTGAAACTGTTGATGAATGTGTTGTAACATATTTATTTGTTGAAGTGTTGATGAATGTGTTGTAACATATTTATTTGTTGAAGGAGGTTGAATACGACAACGATTGTAGATATCTGTTATATAATAAACAAATGGTTAGTAAGAATAAAAAATATTAATTATTAAAAATAAAATAAATTAAAGAGTATGCAAAGTTTATATTTATATTATATTTACAAAAGAATTGTAAAATAAACAAATATATATACCGTTATTCGCCGTGTAAGAAACATGTGTAACAAATGAATTTTGATGGGTTGATGTGGTATGTAATCTTTTGGATTTTCTATTATCCAAATATAACTTTCTAATTTTTATCCTCTCTTTAGCGCTTGTAGATTCGATACTGTTATTTGAACCTGTAAAATAGCATAAAATAACTTAAACACATTTTTATTTGATATAAATTTAAATATAATGTAATGTATTTATTTCACTTATAAAAAATTATGAATCTTATATCTTATATTTAAAATATATAAGAAACAAACATATCATCATCATCAATGCAAAATAAAGTAAGAAAAGTACCGTATTGGCTAAAATGAATCGTATGTGCTGCATATGTATGATGACACGATGATGTAGTATTGTGTTTTTTGGATTTTCTGTTATCCAAATATAACTTTCTCTTTTTTCTTCTCTCTGTAGCGTCATTTTCATCCATGTTCTTGATCGATAAATAAAAAAATAAAAAAAAATATAATTAAAAATAAAATTAAGCATATGTTAATAATTGTTACATACAATTTGTAGGTAATTTAATTTGTATAAATTTGAATTTGAAAATTAGATACTAATAAAATTTGTTATGATAATGAAATATGTAAATAATAATATTGTATAATGATATATAATTAAACTTTACTTATTAAATTGTTGAACATATTCTATAAAATGGCAATTTAAAAAGTTTATGTTTATTTAAATTACAATTTAAATGTAAAATGTAATGTCATCTTAAAACACAATTTAATAAAAAATGACATATAAATATAAAGATTAATGTTATTTATTAATTTATATTTAACCAAAGAGTGAGTGGTGATACATACGATTAATAGATAAAATTAGAAAAAAAAACATCATTTGATGTCTTCGTATAAGTGTTTGTATATGTATATATATTGTTTTTATTTTAAAATAAAATTAATTTATATTTATATTATTCAATTCAATATTCAATATACTAAAGAAAGACTTCTCAGTGTTCAGTAACCCCATTTTCCCCCTTTTCTTGTAATAGAAACGAATACGACTCCCTTTTCCAGTATAACCAAATCTATATTTCCAAAGCATCTTAAAACGATCGATCTCAGAAATGCTATGGAAACTTGTCAATTGCTAAAGATGTAGGCATATACTATAATACAGGTACAGACCCATCTTGAAGTGAAATGAAAGTTATACTACAATTTAGAAGTCGACGAATACTACAATTTAGAAGTCGACGAATGAAGGTACAGACCCATCTCCATTTTTTTTTTGCTTCGTGGTGCTTTTGAGATAATTTTCTTGTGGTTTTGGATTCTCGAAAAACTAATAAGACTAAAATGCCCTTCTGATCTATTTTTTTATATAATTTAATGTTTTATTAATGATAAACATGGGCCCACCCCTCTCTCTCTAACACACACATCACCGACGGTGTGTTTCTTTTCTTAAAAGGACCTGCGATTTGGGATTTAATAGAAAGAGGAACGTTGTTAGCCATAATCACATCACAACTTTGATCATTCGAAGCAAAGGAGATACGATTAAGAACACTTTCTTCCTCCCTGTAACTCAAACCCACTAATAACCTTCATATTTTGGAAGAAATCAAATTATGGGCTACACCTACTCTAACCCAACATAAAGCGAACCTTCATACTCACCACCACCGGTGACCATATCTTACACACAAATCTCGAATCAAGGTCCATTGTCTACATTTGCAACACCAACTTCGACGTTGAGCTGATAAATTTGTAGCAGCAACCCCGAAACACTCAAGATCCATCATCTCGATCTCGAACACAACCAAAAACTTCGATACACTCAAGATCAACCATCATCTTCTCCATGCAGCCATCGTCGTTATCTTCACAGTTGTAAGAAACCAGCTCCTGATCTCGTTTTCTTTCATACGCAATCCTGCAAATCAAAGTGGAAGACCAAGATCGGTAATGGATATGACGCTTTCCGGCGAGAGAGAGGGGGGAGAGGTTCCTGATTTGGGGTTGTTGAGACCAAGAAATCAGGAAACGAGGGAGCAAATCGACCAACCTTCTTCGTCGGGGTTGGGTGGGTTACACGGTTTCAGATCTTCAAGGAGATGATTAGACATGTTATCACTCTTCAATACCTTCATCTACTTCGCCAGAGATTGTAGAGCCAATTGTCTTCTCTGGTGCCGTGAGAGGGGAAGACTGAATTGAAACCCTAAATTCGAATAAAAGATGAAATTGTGTGTGTTTGTGTATTAATTCCCTGAAATGGAATCTGCCATTGTTTTTTGAGTTATTGTTTGTGCCTTTTCATATCTGTAAAAGAGGTTCTTGAATGGATTGGTTCTTGCGATTTTAAAAATGATTTAAGATCCATGAGTATGGGTGTTTATTTTGTAAAACAAAATTAAAAAAATGAAGTGTGTATGTGTTTACTGTGTGTGTTTTTGAGAGAGAGAGAGTGTATGTGTGTGGATCCCTTTTATTGTTTTAATTATTAAAATATTAAAAAGATATTAAAAGATATATAAGTAAAAATAAAATGGTATAATAGTTACTTTAATTTTCGGATGAACCATTTCCATATAGAAACATGATCAAAAGGACTACGAAGCCTAAAAAAACGGAGGTTTAGATGAAAACCCATTTTGCAGTTTTGTCATTATAATTTAAAGATTAAAAACGGAGGTTTAGATGAAAACCCATTTTGCAGTTTTGTCATTATAATTTAAAGATTTGTGCACGCTGGGAAGATTTTTCACATGTCTCATCTACAAAAATCATGACGATTTTGGTTTATCTCACAACTTTCTATTAAATCTTAAAAAAAATGATGAATATGATTAGTCAAATTCGTTTTCTTTTAAATATATCATTCTAAACCAAACTTGTACTCTAAATAGTAACTTAAAGTATTAAGTTTGATTATATATTTTTCAAAATATATATTACAAATACGTGATAAATAATAAAATGATTTTTTTTTTGTAGAAAACAATCACTACGCCATAAGGAATTGTCACAAGATGACTATTCTAAATATGTGACACATTACTTTCATTTTATCGTCGGTAACTTCAGCAAATATTCATCACTTCACATAATTTATATATTTTTTATATTAATTTATTTTAAAGTAAATTACACGAATCGTCCCTTATGCAGGTGTCAAAATACACATTCAGTATCTTTTTTCAAAAATTAATTCGGATCATCCCTCGTTTGTTTTAAACTTACACGTTTCGTCCATATCAACATAAAATGACTATATTACCCTTACCAATTTTTTTCTATTTATTTTTTATTTGTTTATGATTTATCTATTATTTTTATCAATCATAATTTTTAGAGAGTAAAAGGGGCTTATGTTCGTGTCATCTATCTCTCCTCTCTCCATTTCTCTATCTCTTTCTCACTCGTTTCTTTATCGTCTCTCTCACCTCCGACCACCATTAAACCCATCCAAACCCTTTCCTCCACAAAGATCCGACAACACCCCAATAAATAATGACCCTTTTGTATAATAGTATGATTCTTTTGTATATTAGTTGGTTAGACACTTTGTAATTATAGACAGCTTTGTATTTATAGAATATATATTTGATCCGTAATCTTAGTGATTAGGATCAAACTATATGGAGATTAGATTACATCCCTTAAACAAAGAGATTTCCGTTTATTGTATTCGTATATAGTCTTGCATTTAGGTTAAACCCTAATGTGTGGCGTGACCATCTTTGTGCATCTGTTCTCTTTGTGAGAACATTTTTCTTGGTGAAAAACTATCTT